GCAGAAAACTAAGATATGTGAGGAAACGTGATTGAAATACTCTGCAGGTCTTGGACGAAGAAGCTGCTCCTTACATCATATGAGTTACGAAATGTGTTACAGTTTCTGTCAACAGGTCACCGTCATATGTATAATACCTTTCAATAGATTCTACAACTTGAGTGGAGGCAGATCCATGACCTATGCTGAAGCGAGATCCGACGATGACGATTGCCCCTTTTCTTAGCGCTTACAATATGAGAACGTATTCTCGGCACATATTTCGAGAGTTGCCAACGAATAAACTTGCAATAGTGGAGAAGGGAGCGGCTCTTCAAGTGGCCGAAATCAGTCCTCACTAGATCTCGACGCAAATATCGCCTCAACTAAAAGATTTGGGAAGAAGCTAAACAAATTAGAGAGGGCAAGCCTTCCGTTTTCAAAACTGTCCCCATTCTTTAAGTTCTACGAATTAGAGAGATATTGCCTTTTAAGTGGCAAAAACTCGCATGAAAATTCAGCGTCCTCGACGCTGCCTCGACAAAATTTGAGAGACCCTATCTCTTCGAGTGTAAAGCTTTTAGATCAATTTCAATATTGCCTGGTAGTAGCAAATCCAGCTCTATCTAACCCTACCACATGCTCAAAGGTTATGAAATGGGGAATGGAACCTTTTCATCATGTAGATTTCGATGGCTTCGGGGCAGGGTTTCGGCAAACCTGACCCACGGATAAATCGCGCTGTAGCTGCATGGTTCGCTTGGAAGTCGCTTATCCTTCTATTTTATAAAGCGCTAACTTTGTGTGTCGGTTTGTATGTCTGTATGTGTGTATGTATGTATGTGTGTCCGTCCGCAAAATGAAGTGAGTGAGAAGGAAGCTCATGGGATAAACAAACCGCTAACAAATCGGGTAGCTTACAGGACTTTAGCTCAATGTTTTGCAATGGCATGATTGTGATAACACCCCAACGGCTATATAAACACGCACTTAGCACACTTTCGGTCATTCCACAAGGTGATGCTGTGGTAGCCGGCGAGCAGAGGGGAACGAGGGGAGAGTAAGGAGAGGAGGGAGAAGGGAAAGCTTACGCAAGGTAGGGGTTATGTATATATTACGATATGCAAGAAACCGTTTCGAAAAAAGGGTCGCCTGCCCTGAAAGACTCCCCTTGTTTGTACGGTACCTAATGGTTTATACCATCGGGCCGTTGGAAATGTGCTTCATGGCGAGCTGCTGTTGGATTTGCAGCCAGGACGAACAAAAAAGTAGCTGGCTACTAACTTACAAACTGACAGCCGCAACCCACTACCATGGTAGCTTGAACTCTACTGACGTGCTCGCAGGCTCGCCCTCGATTTATCCCAACACCTAGTGAAGTACTGCAGGTTTGGGAAGACACGGTTGCCAGCTGCAACGAGGATGAGATATGTCAGCTGAAGGGTGCCGCTTAGTTGCCAGAATGTCATGGAATTTTGCTCAAAATGCGAGCAAAAATACCCTTCCATAAGCGGCTGAACGAACATGGAAGAGTTTTGCAAGACCTTTTCTCACCCGGGCAACGATTCCTCCAGACACTAGAAGCCTCTCCATACATAGCCTCTGCATACACATGAAGATCTAGTCTCACCATAGAAGTTCTACATCACTTAAAAAACAGTTGAAACAAAATATAAGAAGTTTGGAATTTTCACAGACGGTCGTGTTGGTGGAAAGACAGGGGAGGGGAAGTTGCTGCAGTTGAGGGTAGAAGGAGCCAGGAAAGTTTCCAAAAGCTAAACAACGTACAGTCACCCCTGTCTGACAGTCTGGACAGTAGTTCTAAGCCATTCTGTTGGAAATGCATTCGAAGGAAGATATAAGAGATACCGCAATCCGTAGTTGTATAGCCGGAAAATGGCTACCAAATGCGCGAGCTACAGTATTCGTTCGGCTCACTGAAGGATCGCCGGCCATTGCAATCCATATTCAGGAAATGCGATTCACGTCATGATGCCTCATCTGTTCAGATGCCGAGCTTTATGACCATTTTTCCGCTGTATTCGTCAACTTTATAACCCTCTTAAATTAACATTCATTGTTGTTAATATTCGTCTTAGGTGTTCGGAAACGATTTTATGCATTATAGAGGTGCACAAGCATAGAAATGAGAAACAGAATGGCCGAATT